GAGTCGAGAGTCCGCAGGACTCGTTTCCAGGTGAAATGTGAGGTGGTGAACTCTTCAGAGCGGAACGCAGTTGAAATTCTTGAATGTTCTTGAAAATTCTTGGCGTTCCGGAGCGCCCGAGTACTCTGAAGAGATGCCTTCCCTGCGTCTGTCTTCAGTTCAGAGACTTTCCCCACTGTCAAGGTGCGCGGATCCCTTATTCTAGTGCTTTCATCCAGTGAGATTGCCAAGCCTTAGGCTGGTGATAAGTGTGAGTGCTGTGTAGAAGAGGTGCCTGTTTTTTTCAGCATGGTGTTAACCATATACCAGTGTTGCTTTATGTCTATGCCAAGATGTTTCTGTTCAATAACAGCACCCTTGTGGACTAAAAACGCTTGCACGTGCTAGGCATGTATTAGGCCTGCTGCTTGTGTTGATCGTGAACTGCAAGTTAGTGTTCTTAAATCCTTCTAAAGGTAATGTTGCTTTGAACCTAACTTAGTTGTGTTCTTCATGGTGTTGAAATACGTTCGCCCAAGGGTTAACTACATTTTTTTCTGATTCTTTAATTACAATTTGCAAATATCTGTATTGAGCTTTGGCTCATTTAGCTTCCGTCTGGTAGAATTATCTCCCCAGGGACGCTTATGTCAGGCTCCAGTTTAATCATAGTAAATCCAAACTTAAGCACTAACAGATCTTTATTGTATAATGCATCCTGTTTTGATTTTTGAGATGCTACAGAATCAAAGGCTCATATAAATAGGACTATGTACACCCTAATTATAAAAGTAAAACTTTCATTAAATAAGATTATACCCGGTTACACAGTTACATTGAGAGAGGTGCTAAAGCTACTTGTTTAACTGGAGATCCAGGCCTTTCTGATTCTGCTAAATGGTTGTTTTTCTTAAAGGGTTCTAAAGGACTTTTGGACTCTTGTAACTTTTTTTTTTTTTTAACCAATTCAGGAGGTAGAGATTGTTCTGTCACAATTGCCTGAACAAATATAGCTAGATAACACTTCCTATCACCATTCATCATAGCGTACAAACAGTGGAAGTGTAATACGTAAATACATTATCACAGATCAATTCTAGTTTTCTGTTTCTTGGTGCCTACCAGTTGGTGTGGTATGGCTTTGGCTATACCTGGTTGAAGTCTTAATTTTGATTTTTGGATGATGTTGGCAGAAACACTTAATATGTGAAGTTGTTAAATAGCTTATACACAAAGCATCTGACCACTTCTCTTTGGGGGTGGGGGGAGGGTGGGGAATGATTTACAAAGTCAAGTTCTGAGCAAATAACCAGACTGTTGTAATATTCTTAACAACTGATGGCTTTTCAAGTTTGAACAAAAGAATGCAAGTATCTTGTTTTCAAACTTCCTATTGATCTCATATGATGCTAGACCTAGGGTGTTGCTTTGGTCTATGCCACCTGCACAGGAATTGTACAGCTCAATTCTTAGATAAGACTAGATATAGTTTCATTCATGTAAAATATCTGAAAGCTGTTCTAATTAAGCTTCTGTTAACTGGAAAGCTTGGTGTAGGAGGGAGAAAAAAAAGCTTTGAATTATTGGCTAAATTTCTGGGGTTCAACTACCTTCCTATATTTTTTTCGGAGTGGTTCTTGCAAATAGTTTTATTAGAAATAAAAGTAGAAATATCTGGATTTTGAAGTATGTTACAAGAACTAAAGTATTTGTCAGGCTGACTGATATGTTTCAGTGACATGCAGGGCTTCCTGGAAGGAAGGTGAAAAGGGCACTGTCATGGATTAAGTGATACTTTTGTTATAATTAGGTTTAAAGATGGTCCCCGGCGTTGCCATTGCTTTTTAGCAAAGTTCTGTCTAGCTACGATCTCGGGTGAATTTTTTTTTTTTAAAGGGAATGCAGAAAGCTGCATTTTTCAGCTTCTGAGTTTTGGCAACCTAAAAGAACCTGCTTAAGTCTTAGCAGTATTAAAAGTGTTCCTGCTCATAAACTTTCTAAAACTAGCTTATGCTAAAAATATTGTTAAGCTTGGTTATCTACTCATGACTTGTTAAAGCATCTGTTGCTTTTCAAAGTGCGCGTTACCATCCAGTAACTTCAGAGGTGCTGGAGAGGAGAGGGCAGGGCTTTCACTCAGGCATTTCTTGTTGTGTGTTCTGCCATAGGATGAATTAATACCTATGTTACTTTACAAATGTGCTTGAATTTTTCAGACATTTTGTCTGTTTTCCCAATACATCTTTCCAGCAATGTAGTTTCTGCTGAATCAAAAGTATCCTGTGAAATAGCAATGGAACTTCTTGTTGTTCTTGGACTATTGTTTCATTTTTAATGCCTTGCTGAACTTTGTTAACAGCTTAAGGAATGTGTTGATCCTCGTTATTCAATAGAAATCACGTCTTTACTAAAGCAAAATGGATGCAGGGCTTTTTAAAGCCAGTCTTGCTGTGAACTGTAGAAATAGGTATGTGAAGCAGCAGTTTTCTATGACCAAACTACTTTGTCTCAAACTGAATAAAAATTATATTCTTGATTAAAAAAAATCTATAAAAAAAAGAAGAAACAAGTTTAATTATAATAATGGAAGAATTGAGGTCTGGTGTGAATTAAATAAATTAACTGTTCTTTAGGTATGAGATCAAGGGAAAGGATTTATGCTCTGAGGTGGAGAGACATAGCAAAAGGATTTGTATTAATGTGGTAGAGGATCAGTGCAGAGAGGGGACCAGAAGACTAATCTGTGGAAGATTTGGACAGGGTTGATGATGATAGTGCAGTGTTGGTGTCAGCAGTGGGAAATCTGTGGCACTAATATGTGATCCTGGGGGAGGGAGGGGAAGATCCTCTGTGCCTGGTGTCCTCTTGAGGACACCCATCAACTGTCTGGGTGATGTGCAGGAGGGCACGTTGTGGTATGCAGAAAGGGAGAGTAGTGTGCAGTGTGACAAAATGGAAGGAAGATTAAAGTGGCATGAGGGGAGAAAGTGATTAAAAAGATGAAAGGATAAACAAACACTCCAGGCTGAAAAATAAGAGTGTTACAGGAGAGACCTGATGTGACCTAGTTTAAAGCACAAAATAATTCGCAATGTGCACTGCAGAAAGTTGAAGTCTTTCTAGGATATTGGGGAGTGGGGGCAGTTAGTCATTTGATGTAAATGTGGTTGATAAAAGTGCAAATTTTGTAGGTGTTATCACAGGGCCTTCTAGATATGGAACATTTTATTTCCTTTATGATCAATCAACACCTCTTCCTCTTTTCTGGGGTATCATTCATGGTTATTTTTTCTTGTCAAAAAGCCTACCATTATACCTGTGACAGTCAGTGAAAATCCCAAGAGCAACTATTGAATTGACAGGAGTTCAAATATAAAGTCTCTGCTAGTGTTTATAATCTTCTTGTCCAGGCGGACTGTAGCTTTTGTATGTTTTACTGTACACCATCTGTTTGCATTAGGATTTAATTTTTTCTGTTGTGTTTGTTGCTTTTTTTTTTTCCCCAAGGATTAATTGAGAGGTGGCTGTCACTAAACAGCAAATTTATCTGTGTCAGTTACCTTTTAACCTAAGGCATTAACTTTTTTGTAATACAGACTTTTATTTATAGCTCTCACACAATGGTTTGAATCAGTTTTGCGATACAAATGGCTAAATAGTCAATTTTAGTACTTCAGCTATATCTAGAAATAAGGCAAGACTACCCATCTGTAAAATTCCTCTGCCTTTTAGTCTCCCCTGTCTAAAAGTGGTGTTTTAAATGTGTTTGTTTAGACGTGAACCACTGGCTCTTATCAACCTCAAAAAGAAAAATGAAGAAACTGGGGAAGAAGAACTTGCCTCACGCTTGGATCACTGCAAAGCAAAAGCCACCAGGCACATATTCCTTATCCGTCATTCTCAATATAATTTGGATGGCCGGGCTGATAAAGACAGAACTCTGACCCCACTTGGTATGTATTACTAGAATCATCATACTTTGCCTTTTCAGAAAATTGTTTTGAGTACAGGTCAGTAACTCAGCTCTGTTCTGGGTCTCGCTGCCAAACCTTACCTACTTTCTGGATCCTTTGTGGCAGAACGCTGTCATGAGTAAGTTTGGGTTTTTCCATTTTTGATCCTCTAAATCCAAACATTATAACTCGCTTTACAGAGTTCTAAACACGCTCAGTTTTAGAGAAACTTCACAAAGGAAATTTCCAATTATCTCAAGGTTGCTTGAGCAAATTTTCATGCTAGCTGACATAATTCACCAGGGCTAAGGCTTTCAAACTTAGCTCCATGACAAACTTTGGGATAGGTTTCTCTTAAAAGGTGGCTTGTGTTTCTGTTAGTTGACTTGCTGATTTCTATATATTAAAAAAAAAAAAATATTACCCCGACTTTCAGTTGGAGTGTTTATAATTAAATACATTTCACTTTTGCTACTAAGCTCTGTTTCTGGGAATACTGCTAATCAGTTACCTGAAATGAGGATAATCTCAGTCTGTGTAATCTTAATTCATTGATCCTGTGACTAGGTCTCAAATGTTAATTAGTAGTATTTTTTTAATAGTGTACTTTAAAAGCAGCAGACACTTTTTTCATTATATGTATGCCAACACTGTTTTGAGGGGGGAAGAATTATTATTGTGCAGTGCTGCTTGAGGTTTTGGAAGTCTGGTGCCAAATGTTTAGTATAAACACCTTTTTTCCCCCCAAGTCTTAATCACCAGTATGTAAATAGGAATGAAATGCTAATTTCAGGACTAAGGTGCTATCTTAAACGGGTAACAAAGTATAATCTTAATCCTGTCTCATCCTGTGCTTTGGGTAAGTTACTTACACTGTCTGTTGTCTTTTCACCTACCTACCTGAAAGATGGAATAAAGCCTTCCCTAGGATGTTCAAGTGCTGTGGTTCTTAACTGTTCCAAGACGGTGGTGCCTTTATGAAAAATGCCCTGTCATGTCTGAGTGGATCTGTTTGACAGAGTCTCCTCTTCTGTGCTCCCTGAACAGAGATGGCAGATGGCTTGGGTCAGCACTGTCTTTTATTGGAAGTGGCTCACTTGGGATGGGGCTAGCAGGGATATTGAATACTTTAGTGAAAGTCTCTGAATAACTTTAGATTTTTTTTTTTTTCAAATAAATTAAACAAACAAACAAACAAAAACAAACCAAGTAATTTTTCCTGCCGATGGAAATACAACTTGAAATTGTCCAGCCAATAAACTTAATCTGAATAAGTAGTGACTCTGGTAAAAATGTTTTCAAATTACTTTTTGAAAGGAGAAAAACTGACATTGATGGAGACCTTTTATGTCTACTGGAAAACTTTTTTGGTAGTTTGTGTGAGGTGCTTACATGAGTGTCACCAGTTTATATAATGAATATAATTTTTAAGGTCGAGAGCAGGCTGAACTGACTGGACACAGGCTGGCAAGCTTGGGATTAAAATTTGATCAGATTATCCACTCCTCCATGACTAGAGCAACTGAAACAACTGAAATTATAAGCAAACATCTCCCTGGTAAGTGACTTTCCTTAACTTTTTGTGGTCTTCTGATCCTTAAAACTGCTTCCAGTAGAATTCTAAGCTTGTCCTTAAGGTTGAGATGTTATTTAGCCATCTTCCAGCCCTGTGTGAATATGTCTATGTTTATAAAAAAACCTAACAACCCTAATCTGCGTGTTTCCAGTTAATCTTTAAAAATACAAGAGGGATCTGCCCCTCTGAGTGACGAGCTGCTACCTGTATGTACTGCTGCGTAGAACTCTGCTGGTTACTCTTCACTTACGCATTGTGTAAAGCAAAGACTATCACAGGTTATCAGGATTGGCTCAGCCGTCAGTCTCGGGGGGCAATAGCACAGGAGAGAAGAGGATCATAAACTCCAGTTCTTGGAGTGATGCTTGCTGGGTTAGGTAACAGGCCCTTCTTGTATGCTATGCTAGCCTATGTGCAGGGGAAGATGTGACACACTTAGAGAGGTGTAGGAATTTTTTAATGTGCCTGGCTGCTTTGTTTATATGGGTTTTGGGTGGTTGTGTTTGCAGTTGGTTGGTTGATTTTTCTGCTGTTCAGACATACCAGAATCTAAACTAAAAGATATTTGGCTATAGATAATTCTGTCTGGTATTTTAGCAGATAATCAGATAATAAGCTGAAAGTGAGTTCTCTTAGCCATTCTGTGTTTATTTTCTTAAATGTGCTTAAATGTGCTGCTTAAAAAAAAAAAAGAAACCCAAAACTAACAAAACAAACTCAAACACCTCCCCAAACCCTAAAACAAACAACCCCCCCAACCCTCTTTTCTTTCTCAGAGTAAGAGATAAAAATATTTTATAAGCTTATATTTAATATTATTAACATTAATTTGCATTAATTAGCAGTAAGCATTAACTGACATACAGCTTTAGATTAACATCCTTGCGAATGCATTTCTTCAAAGTGTAGCAGACTGGGAACACTCAACTTGCTGTGCCAGGCTGGTCTGGCTGTTCTCAGTTGGAATAAGCTTTTTCTTGCTGATGACAAAACAGCTGTGTTGAAAAGATTCACACATCTTGATAGGCCATGTGTAGACTAAAATGGTCTTTAGGATGGAGATGAAGACTTCTTTGAAGAAAACATGAAAAATGTATTGGTTGTAGAGTTGCGGGCCTGTTTGCAGTGGTATGTGAAGTAACAACTCCTTTCTGAATGTGTCTTTAATATTTCAGGAGTCAAAAAAATCAGTACTGATCTGCTGAGAGAGGGAGCACCTATAGAGCCAGACCCTCCAGTCTCTCACTGGAAACCAGAAGCTGTGGTAACTTTATACTTAAATTTTTTTTTTCTTTACTTGTTATGTTTTGGGTGTTTTAATATACCTTATATTGACAGTAGCAGTAACTTGCAGTGTCTGAGCTGATGCTTTTCATCATAGAACTTGGATAATTGCATACTTTTCTCCTCCCTGGTAAGTGTGCAGAACAGGTAAAATAACTTACAATCCTTTAGTATTAGTTCAGCCTCAAGTGTGTATCCCTGTAAAGAAGAACTGTTTAGAAGATCCAGCCCATCTGCAAATGCAGACAATGGCACATGTTGCTCTGAGCTGTGTTTAATTCTGAACTCTGTGCCATTAGCAGTATTACGAAGATGGAGCTCGAATTGAGGCTGCTTTTCGAAACTTCATTCATAGAGCTGACACGAAGCAGGAAGAAGACAGCTATGAGATCTTTGTCTGCCATGCCAACGTGATCCGCTATATTGTGTGCAGGTATGTGTTGGATTGCACGTTCATCCATGTTCTTCAAAAGGTCTTAGTTTTACTGAAATGGTGTTGGTTTATGGCGCTGCTGAGCTAGGAAATGTGTTGATTTGGCTTATTTGAAGTGGTTGGAGATCAGTGCCTGCATTGTGAGCAGCTGCTTCTGCAACTTTATCACAGGATTAATTTCCAGATACAGGACACATTTGAAAATTAGAAGACTTTCATTTTAATTCTACAGTGAAAATAGCTAAATTGGTGGGACTCAAAACCTGTTTTGTACGTCTGAACGGTCTCTTTAATACCATATGCTTCTGCTTCTCACAAACCTGAGGATAATGCCTGTGTGGACTGTTGGAAAAGACAACAGACAGAGCATCTGACTGGATGCATCTTTTTTTGAGGTGACGTGAATTTGATCTTACATAATGAAAGATTGATTTAGTTTTGGGAATTCTTTACTAATGGTAATTTTTGTATTATGTTCAAGTTGTATTAGTGTGGTTTTGCAGTAACATCCAGTATTGGATTAGAGGGGAGAGTGGATCTTTCTGCTAACATCGAGGTTGTTCATGAAGGAGAAAACAGTTCTGGATCTTTGCCTGTCCCTGTATCCAGTCAGCTATGTCTGTTTTATTCTTCTTCCCTCTCAGCAAAGCACTGTCTGTAAGATAATTTGTCTTGAGCAGGACAGATGTGATTAAACTTTAATCTGATCAATACCTACAACAATTTCAGGTAGCTTTATTTAGCTGAGCTAGTTAAATGCTAGCCTGTCTGCTCTGTGGACTGCTTTAGAGCTCTTCAAAATTGCTATACTTAAAATTATTGATCAGGTAAACAGACTATTCTTTCCTGTGCCAAAAAAGATTATCTTGCTGCTACCTAGGCTTTTTCTGAAATACTTGCATACTTTTTCTCTTTGTGGTTTCTTTTCTCTTAACTTCTCTTCTGTACCTTCTATTCCAGGCTATCTGATACCACAATTGAACACAATCCATGTAGTGTTCCTTTTGAATCTAGCTTGACTGTAGCTGTTATTTAATTTCTTAGCCTTTTGAAAAGACTGTCATAATAGCCAAAACCAAGTTATTCCTCAGTATTCGAGGCAAAAGATGTTCGAGACAACTTCATATTTTCTCCAGTTGTTTACAGTAACTGATTGAACTCTTGAGGCTGTTCAGTTAGGAATTTTAGAATAGCTGGAGACTAGCTGTGATACTGTATTTCTACAGAAGGCACAAGGTGCTTTTTCTTGCTGCTTCTGGGGAACGATACAGCTGACGGAAAGCAGTTCCAGTGAATTTCTTCCATAGGCACATGCAGGCAACTAGAATGAATCCTATCTCACTACCTCTTCTCTGCTGTTGTTGCATACCTACCCACGCTGGTAAGGCTAAAATAGCGCGTAAGCGTGCTGTTTGTTTGCCACTTTTGCCCTGGGTCTGCGGAGGAGGCCATTGGCGTGGTGAGCCATCTTCTCTGCCTGTCCTGAACTGCGTGGGGTTTTGTGGTGCTGCAGTTGGCTCAGTGACCAACCTGAACCTATGCTGTCTGTTGTCCTGGTTGTTACGAGGTTGCTCAGAGTGCTTCCAGCAACATGACTACGTTAGAGCTCCTACCTCCTGTCAATTTGAATTAATCCTGTCTATAATAATCATATCCATCTGCTGGACTCTGCTTATGCAGCGCATTGTTGGCACTGGTCCAGTTATCAATGCTGCGGTTTTGTACCAATTCCACAAGAAAAGTATTTTTTCCAAGGCTGACTGTGGAAGCATTTGCATGCAAGCTGCAGAATGACCAACAATTTTCTTTTTGTTGTTGTTTTTGGTTTTCCTTATCTGGAACAGAAGGCGATGCTGTGAGGGCATGTTAATGTAACTGTTTATGAATTAATAATATATGCTTTTTTTTTTTTAATAGAGCATTGCAGTTTCCCCCAGAAGGCTGGCTGCGAATGTCTCTTAACAATGGTAGCATAACTCACTTGGTGATACGTCCTAATGGAAGAGTGGCACTTCGAACACTGGGTGACACAGGTTTCATGCCTCCAGATAAAATCACACGCACCTGAATGAGCAAAACTGATGGCTGTCCAGCAGCTGCCTCTAGTCTCTTTGCACTAGTACATTCAGCTACGGTACCACTAGATTTTTATCTGTTACGTTGGGGTGTGATGCTGTCTTAAAATGTCCTTTAGCCCCTTGCCTCCTTCATACATATTCATATCTGCCTTTCAGTCCAGAAAAGAAGAAATCTTTGTAAGCCTGAAGCTGTCCAGTCCTCAAGTATTCCCCAAAACTGAAAGCTGAGCTGTGGAATACAAAGAGATTGAATGTCTGTGTGCTCTGTGGTTGCAAGAGCACTGACTTTACCCCCACCCCACCATGAATTTCTATAACCAAAGCTTGTTCCTGTGGATATTATTTCTCTTGTGCAGGAAAGCAATTGGTGTAGGAACTGGAAGAAACAGCCTTGTATCACACTGCAGCTAAAACTGAAGACGAGGCAGCTTGTTTCAACTCCTGCAGAAATGACAAACAGGGTATTTTGCTGTTCCAAGGACAAAGGGATAAGGCTTCAGTTTCTGTAAGCTGTTGAGGATGTATGTTTATGTTGTGTCATTGTTCCCCTCTGCCCCCAAAAAGCTCACGTAAACTGTGCCTGGAGGTTGTAAGCATAAAGCAAAGAGGGTAAAAAAACCCAGAAACATTTGCCTCAGAGCTGTGGTGCTAGAATTAACTGCTGCTTATACTAAGTGTTCCTCCATCCTCAGGAAGTACTTTAAGCTATTTTGACATGTTTTTCAGTCTCGTAAAGCCTTTAACTAAAACTTTGTCTGTAGAAGGATGTACGGATGAGTTTGTAGCAGTAAGATGGAAGGAAAGGAAAGCAGCAATCATCTTCTGAAAATGCTTCCAGTTAATGACTCAGATTTTTCAGTGCTTTCTCCTACTGATTTGTATTTGTTAATACTTTGCTTTCAGAGTAGAGAAATAACACGACTGAGTTCAAGGGAGTCATATTTCAGGTCAGAGGTTCTGCAGTATTGGAGCAAACTGCTGCTTAGAACTCCTGTTGCCTGAATGGTGAAAAAGGATCTGTGGGATGGTTGTTCTAGGCCAAGTGTGTAGTACAGACGTCAGGCAGAATGCTTTAAGTAAGTAAGTGGTAAGTGGCTTCTTTGTACAGCTCTGACACTGCTGGACTTGTTCTAGGAAAAATGCAGGTGGCTGAGAACTCGGTTTCATTTTTTTGAGCGGAGTGTTTCATCTTAAGGATGTTTGCTAGGCACCTGAACCAGTGTAGTAATGTGGCTCACAGTACCTGGAATGTTGAAAAATTTCACCATGTGCATAGTCTGTCTTGGTGATAGAGCACATACTATAGGACAGCAAACATAACTAACTAGCTTATTTGACAAGTTCTCTTATCACCAAGAATGTGGATGAGGCCCTAAACTTGCTCCTCTCAGAGCTGTATGAAGCATAATCATGGCACACAACCTAGTGAGACAAGGTTGAAGGGCTTGTTTGATACAGGACTGCTACATCAGGATGATTTAAGGAAACTGGGGCTAGCAGGGAACAAAACGTGATTGTTGTGTGGGGCAAGAGGAAACCATTGTGACATATCTCTCATTGATGCAATGAGAATAATTTATCTGGTTTTGTCTATTAACTTTTTAAAAGTTTTGAATAAAATAACTGGTCTGTCTGTCTTGTCTCTTCAGTTGAATACCTGCTGTAGAAGGTATGGCTGCAGCGCTGCACAGTGACATGTGTTTCTGCCAGCTGAGCAGCCTTTGTGTCCCATGTTGCCTGGGGAAACAACTCATTTACCAGCTTTGTCCTTTTAAACTCCAAATAGCTGAAAGGTAAACTGGAGAGAGCAGCTAGCTCAGAGTTAATTATCATCACCTATAGACACATATGTGCAAGGACTGTAGTATACAAGAAGGGACTGCTGTACCCTAGGCTGGGCATTTTGGGAGTTACAGGGCTGTCTCATCACCACATGGAACAGGAGCACCAAAGCAAGAAAGATGAAAATTCGGTGCATTTTTATTTGTGTATGTGCATACATATACCCTCTCGCATCATACATACCCTTCTACACCCCCCCCATGCCAATAACTAAGTTCTTGGTGGGCAGCCAGAGGCCACACAATGCCTCTTTGCACATGTATAGGAATTGCCAACATTTTCAGTGACACTCAAGTTGTGAGGGAGAAGGTATGAAATTTAAAATCAAGTAAGTAAGTACATAATTTTTACAGTGTCATAGTTCCTGTCTTAAATAGTTTGAGACTGTTCTTTAAGCCTTCAGTGGCATAATCCAATGTCATTGTGTACACACACACATACAAAAAAGATACATGTAGTTGTGCAAAGTCTGGACAAATCAGTGATTTGCCATGTCATGGTATCAACCCAGCTACTTACCACCATGCCCCATACATTAAACACAGTGTGACACTTTTAGCTACTCATTTATTTTTTAATAGAAAGCAAGGTAAGTCTGTATTTTTAACATGACACTTGGCTAATTAAAAAAAAAAAAACCAAACAAAAACCCACAACTAATCTTTTGCACCTTTGTAAGTAAGTGAACTTTTGGCCAAGAAAACACAATTAAAGCAATACCAATCTGATTTAAAGTGTCTCCACAGGCTTAGTGTGAAAGAGCTTTCTTCACAATCATGAATGATCAACTCGCTACATAAATTGCTATTTTTTTTTAACAGCTGAAGTAAATACATTGTTAGAAAAATGACTTCTTAAGATGCAGTACAACTGGACTAATTAATGCACATTATATAACACTTAAAAAAATTCTCTTGACCCAACTGAAACAAAATTACAAAGTGAAAGGCAAGGGTTTGGTGGTGTAGTGAGTAGGTGGGGTGGAGGGGGGGGGGGGGGGGGCGGGGGGGGGGGGGGGGGGGGTGTTTGACT